CATTGCCCCTCGTTTTTTGAGAATTAGAAAGATTCTATTCAAATTTGAATTTGTTTATTAAAATATGGGTTCTTCTACCTCATTTTTATTTACTCAATTTTTTAAATTTTTCCATCTCTTTTTTAATTTTTTTATTCCCTTCCATCAGTCCTTTATAAAAATTTTATCAACTTATAAACTATTCTATTATACCTAAAATATATAATAATATAGATATTAAATATACATTATAGAGTAGAAAGAAATTCAATTATATAAATACTATAGGAATATATAAAAATGAAAATTATTTTTTTGTTATTCTAAATTAACTTTTTAATATTATAACTCAAATATTATTTTACATTTAAATATTAATTTATTTTTATTATTTAAAAAGTTTTTTTCGAGAAAAATTATTTTTATGCCATAAATATGAGAAATCTTATCCACCTTTATCCCACCTCCCTTCGGGATAATTTTATCCAGGTTATATCTCCCTTATATCTGGCTTTATCCCATCTTGAGCAGGAACCAAACACAAGATAGGATAAATGTTGTCCTATCCTAAAATTGATCCTACCTACTAAACGCAGCCTAACGGATTAAGGGCCATTTTTGGCGATTAGCTAGGAAGTTTTACATTCTGATTGCCATTACACTGAATTTGTAACAGTGCCATTCAGCCAGCTGCACTCTTTAATTTTTTCGGGGGAGATAATGCCACTTATGGCTTTGTAATCCTTTCAGAAATTGAAAATCAATCCCTTTTACTTTTGGAAAAAAACCAACAAAAATCTCAAACTATGCTTATTGCGACACATTTACCCCAAACTTTTTTTATGACACCAAAAACCCCAAACTTGTATCCGAGTGACACATTTACCCTCAATTAGGGTTCCGTTAAAAATTTCTGTTAAAACTTTGACGTGTCGCTGACATGGCTATTCATCTCTTTGAAATTACTGTTCATCATCTTCAACCTTGTGATTGCTCGGCCATAGCTCTTTTGGAGTTCGTTCGTCTCTGCCCACTGCCGCCTAGACCTCCGGGAGCTTCGTCGTAGCTGCCGACCATGGCAGCCAGGATCTTCGAGATCGAATTTGGCTTCAAAGCTTGCAACTGCCATGGCTACGAGAGCTTGAAGATTGTGACCGCCATGGCCGCGAGCTTCGAGATCGGATTTGGCTTCGAAGCTTGCGATCGCCATGGCCGCTCCGCTCAAGCTCGAAGCTTGGCTTGAGGGCGAAGCTTGGCTGAAGTGGATCTTCATCTTCAACTTCGTCATCATCTTCCTCTTCTTCGTCATCATCTGAATAAAGGTAGAGAGGCTCTCCGCCAAGCTTCGAGCTCAAGCGGCCATGGCGGCCGCTCCAAACATCTTAAGCTACGCAACATCCACACATGATGCTCCCGCAATCGTAGTCAAGATTTGCAATTTTAGGAGTTCATTCAAAGCGACTAAATGAGACTGTAAGCTACCGTATTCAGTAACACCACGGTAATGTTAATCGACCCAATCCTTCAGAGTTTTTTCTTGATAACTCAATCAGATCTAAATAGATTACGCACAATTTTATGCCCGAGAGGAGCATTGCGGTTGTTGCTTTCATCTAGCATTCACGGGATTAAGAAAACGAGCCAACGGATGTCTGATGCTCATATTAACGCTCATTCAGGCCAAGCTTCAAGCTCGAGCGGAGCAGCCATGGCGGTCGCAAGCTTCGAAGCCAAATCCGATCTTGAAGCTCTTGGCCGCCATGGTTGGCAGCTACGACGAAGCTCCCGGAGGTCCAAGCGACAGTGGGCAGTGACGGACGAGCTTTGGTCAAGCAATCGCGAGGTTGAAGACGTTGAACAGAAACTTCGAAGACGCTGAGCAGTAACTCGAGATAAACAGTAACTTTTTTTGCATTGCCACGTCAGAATTTTAACAGAGAATTTTAACAGAATCCTAATGGAGGGTAAATGTGTCACTCGGATACAAATTTGAAATTTTTTATGTCACAAAATACAATTTTAAAAAAATGTATCACAATAGGTATAATTTGAAATTTTTTATAGTTTTTCCCTCTTACTTTTTCTTTTCCCAAAACGGCCTGTCCACTTCTTTAAATGGTCCACTGATGGTCCCTTCGTTAATGTGGTCGGACGGAATGATGAGTGAAGAAATGGGTCGAGTTATGATTTGCTCAGCTTTCTTATTTGCCTGCTGAAATGCTGAGTTGGACGCCAAGTATGTGTCACATCAGCAAATGAAAGTACTTAGAAAATTGGGAGGGAGGGAGGGGAGTCGATCGAATTGCTGCACATACGTGAACTTACGAACATATATTCATTTTGAGGAGTCTGAGAGTCGAGAGCTTGCTTGTAAATCTCCTCTAAACACTCGTTAATAAGACGTAGGCACTTGGATGAGTATGAGAGAGAACAAGGATTGTCATTTTAAGTGTTCACATAAGCTGTTTGTTCTACAAACACAGGGAATTGTCATTTGTCAAAATTTTTAACGAAGGAATTTGTAAATCCATTCATGGGATCAATGGAGAACGTGAGAGCTCTAATGCTGTTGTGGGTGAATCAGCAACCAAAAAAAAGGTTAATTCTGCTGCGGGGCGTCAATAGAGAAACTAGTATTGTAGAAGGTGAAATGTAATTGTTCATACCAATTTATATGGCCTGATATGGCTGCTAAAGCTGGCCGAGTGGATTGGGCAAAATGAAGGCCGAACCACTATGAATCTTGTCTTCGTAATCTCTATCCATTTTTCTCTTTGTTGTAGCCTATACATGCATAAGATCAATTTCAATGATTCACTCACACAGCTTTTAGAAGTTCCAAAAGTTACGGTTCGTAAAATTTTTTAAATCTTCTCTTAGGTGAAAAGATTTGAAAAATCACCCTCGGTCGTTTCACCCCCCTTTTGATTGTTATATCTGGACCTTATATTTGGTATCAATGTCTCGTGCTCAAGATATCAGGAAGTGTTTTTACTTCAGAGTCAAAGATGAAATGGCAACCATTGTCTGAGACAAGCATGAATAGAGGAAATTCAATCTCGAGTCCACCTCCAGTTGATGGCTCTAAATTTTTATATTACAAGTGCCAAGATGACTATGTTTATATAAATCCGTGATTTATGAGCTTTGGAGGATTGTGCAAAATGGGTGATTTCTTCCTTTGGCTGCATCAGAAGGAACTTCGTCTCCGAAAGAAAAAGAGTTTATTGTGGAAGATTATAGAAAGATTTCTTTAAATTTCAAGGCTAGGCATGTTTTATATTGTGCCTTATCTCTGATTGAATTTAATTGTGTTTCTTCATGTACCTCAGCAGGAGAAATTTGGGATAACTTATTGTGACACATGAAGGTACAACTTGTGTAGAGGAGATTAGAGCCAAGATACTGGTCAACGATTACGAGCTCTTCAAGATGAAGTTAGAAGAGAACATCATACAAATGTTCACTAGATTCGCAGATAGTGTGAATGGTAATCTTGGAAAACCATCACAAATGGCCAATCTAGTGAAGAAGACAATTCTAAGGTGTTGACCAAAGAAGTGGAGGCCCAAGAAGACCGCACTATAAAAGCCCATAGATCTATCAACTCTCACTAGATTAGCTAATTGGATCCTTCATGGCATATGAAGTTGAGATTGAACACTCCGATGAAAAGGAATCTAAAAAGGAAAAGATCATTGCTCTTAAAGCTTCCTCATGCAGATCTACAGAAGATGACAGACGCAGTTGATGCATTTTCTACAGATGGCAGTGACGATGGAATTGCTATGCACCTTCACGGTGTCGGACAACTTGTGGCAAGAACTTTTCAACAAGTTCAATATTGACAGGGTAAGTTCCTAAGATCATGAAGCCAAGAGTTTGGTCTACATCGAGGCACTCCAAGCAGGTCGGGTCATCCAACTTCATTTCCGCAATTTTAACTTCTTAAAAATCATTTTTTTTACCATGACTAGAGGTCCAAGAACTCACTTTTAGGGAAATGAGGGGCGCCACTTTCGGAGCAACATTGATGAAAAATTGAAGGGGAAGGGCACGCACCGCACGCCATGGAATTTCAATGAATAGTTATGAGAAAAGACTACCAAGTTGTTCTAGTAATAGATAGAAGACATGCTAGGAGACAAGTAGAAGGCGACAAAGTTGGAAAAGGGGCGGGACACTGTCAAAAACTTGTTGACAAAGGAGTTCTAAAGTAACTTGTTACATAAGGGGTTGCTTTTGGCTTTTTAAAATTTTTCCACTTTAAAAAGCCAAACCGGCTGCCCTTTTTAACCTCTCTCCACTTCACTACTCCCCTTCCTGCATTTAGCACTTCCTTTTGCTCCATACAATTGCACTTCATCTCTCTCTCTCTCTCAAAGATTGACTGAATCCATCGCCAAGCAAGAACATATTCCTCCGGTGAGCAATGTAACCGAACTTCATCTGTTTATTTTTAGCTGAACTTTACATGGTATTTATTTATGCAAAAGTAACATGAGTCATTTGTCTCGGACCTTGGGCAAGGAGGTTAGAAAGTAGTAGTGGCGGATTTTTTAGAGGACGAACTTACTGAACTCCGAGCATGTGCACTTACAAAATTTAGGCCCTTGGATTTCACGGCTTCGTATGAGTTCCACTTGATCCAAGGATTGAGATTTCAAGGTTGAAAATGCATCCTGTGCATTCATGACAGTTACTTCTTTAGTAAGGTACCATGCATCGTAGGGAATTCCAATTGACGGCCAAAAGAAAGAAAAATTAATGCGGAGTGTACATCTTCGAAGATTACAATTTTTACTTATTTCCTTATCTTTTTAACTTTGTTAGGATATTAGATGATTTTTTTTTTCAATTTTGTGTAGTTATCCATTTTTATATTTAAGATTTAGTACGTTCGTTTATCTTATTAGTTTATATTTTCTTATTTTATATTTAGAATTTAATTAGAGTTTTTAATTTTGCATCTAACCGTTTCTAATACGTCACTGTTTGTCTGAAATTCTAAAGTAACGCAGGTGAGAATAAGAATGATGAATGAGTTGGACAAGATCAGCCATTTACCGGAGCACATAATGGACCAAATCTTGTCGCGCTTGCCAATCAAGGACGCAGTGGGAACTAGTATTTTGTCAAGAAAGTGGAGGTACAAATGGTCCTCTGTTCCACAACTTGTGTTTGATGAGCAATGTACTAGGGCCAGGGGAGTTCCTTCTCTTCAACAATCTCTGAATGAAAACTTGGTGAAGATAATTGACGAGGTCCTCTTGCTTCATACTGGCCCAATAGAGAAGTTCATGCTCTCTCACACGGGATTTTGTGCCACGAGTAACATTGACCACTGGATTCTTCATCTATCCAGAGTCTCCATTAAAGCAATTGTACTCCACATATGGAAAGGGTTCGATTACAAGATTCCCACCTCCTTATTCAAATGCCAAGACTTGATTCATTTGGAACTGCACAGATGTTTTGTGAAAATCCCATCGACGTTTGAAGGATTCAAGAATTTGGAAAGTTTGGATCTTCAGCACGTTGACATGTCTTCGAATGGGCTGGAGGCTCTGATTTCTTGCTGCCCCTTACTAAAACGTTTGAACTTGTGTAACTTGGAGGGGATTAAGCAAATTAACGTTGAAGCTGGCAACCTCGAGTGGCTTCTGCTTCGAGGAGGTTTACGGGATGTTGCTTTCGGTATTATGAACCGTTTGAAGTCAATCACGGTAGGTTTCTATGATGAAATTGCTAACAAATGCATACCTGGCAATGCCAACTCAAGCAATTTGCACAAATTCTTCCGAAATCTGCCCAAAATTCAGAGTCTCAAGCTTGAAAATTACTCATTGAAGGTACATGTCAAGCGCATAAATTCTGAAATTTGTTAGGATTTTGTACAATATTATTTTTGGGACGAAAATATGTTGGTTCTATTACTAAATCAATATTATATATTGACACTTGATTTTGGCTTATTTGTGCAGTATTTGGCTATTGGAAATGTTCCACAGCCACCACCTAATGAGCTCGTTCATTTGAATTACCTCTTCACATGCATAGACTTCAATAGTCCCGAGAAGATTTTGACCGTCATGTGCCTGATCAGAAGCTCTCCTCAATTGAAATGTGTAGACTTTCAGGTGAGTATGATCATTGAGATTAGTGTTCAGCAGACTAATCTGGGTATTACTTCGAAACTATTATCGAAGATCTTATTTAGGTATTTGTGTGATCTTCTCCACAAATTTTCATTACTTGGCAAATTTTTTTTAGCAAATAGTGAGTCAAACTTAAAGTCCAAGGATGTATCACTGTAGTCTAAATGGACTTTACTGACGAAATGCATATGCTTAACATATCAGAATGAAACAAATTGACGAAACCTTTTCTATTTAGCGAAATTGTTCATGATTTAAAGAAAGATAAATGGTTATCAGAAGTCTAATGCTTCCTTTGTATCAAATTTCAAAATATATGTTGGAAATAATTTCATTTGATTTGATTTTTAGTGATCATCATATTACCTTGGTTCTTTAAATCATCGAATTTGATGAAAAAGAGAGCTACCCTATACTTTACAGCGACTATATTATACATTCTCAGAATAAAAGACGGTATAGTAATCCGGTTCACCCGAAAAAAAAAGATATCGCAATCCGGGGATCATGATTCATAAAGGAAATAAACAAATCAAGTTCTCTGCTCTCTTTATTAAATGACCAGATTAAGCTCTCTCTATGCATCGTTTTGTTAAAGTTGCTCTTTTGATCATTAAAAACAGTCTCGTGCTGAGAATCAACAAACTACATGGATCGGGACAATGGCCAACTTTTGGGAAGACCATCAGGCGTGTTGCCTAGAACAAGTACAAGTTGTATCGATGGGCGGAATTTATGGTAGTAAGCCAGAGCAGGAAATGATGAAATTTCTACTTGCTAGTTCGCCGAAACTACAAACGATGATGATCAGGCCTAATTCCACGAGTGGAGAAGGCAAGTTGTTCAGGGAGTTGCTGCGTTTCCGGCGAGCCTCGGCGCAAGCGGAAGTGATCTTTCTCGACCCCGTTGATCCAGAAGCCAACCCAACTTTGATGTGGGAGGATTGGGTTTCATCGATCAACCAGGCTCCACTCATGTCTCATCGATCAACCAAGCTCCACTCATTTCTACGCATCCAATAAAAGTCATATGCATTTAAGTCTCTTAATTCATAGCTTTTTATGAGTGTTTATTGTGGTCTTTTATTTAAGAGTCATAATTAGGTGATTTCCCCCAAGAGTCTATTCAATTTTTGAGAATTTGAGGAGTCAATTCTCAATTGTTTAGCAATATCTCTATAAATTGAGGTGTAATCTCATTGTAAAAGGCAGAAGACTTGAATATTGAAAACATATGAGATTTTCGTCTATGTGAGCAATTATCTTTTCCGATTCTTTATCCCTGGAAGGTGGATTATTCCTTAGTAGTGAGCCAAGAAGTCCTTTATCCATGTCCATGGCCGATGGATTTCTCCTATCCCAGCTCCTTTATCCTGAGAACGTGGATTATTCCTTGGTGGTGCACCAAGAAGCCCTATATCCATAGTTGGTGGTTCGTCCTTTAGGCCTTGATGATGAGCTTCTCCTATTATGAAGTTTTTTTATCCTCGGCAGGTTCATCCTTTAAGCCTTTGTGATGAACTTCGTCAATCCTGATCATAATCATTGGCTGGTGGCACATCCTTTAGACCTTGGTGGTGATCATAATCTATCCTTCATATCATGCGTTTACATTTTTCTATCAACATCCATTCCAGATACTCTGATTTATCTGTACTTCCTTTGACATCACTTGCTTGCGCTCGTACCCACAACCGCATCAAATTGGTATTAGAGCTCAATATTGAACTCGTTTTTAACGATTTCTTCTATTACTCCAGTTCATATTTTCGTTCAAAAAAAAGGGTGATCCAGTTCCAAGAGCCTTGACCCTAGAGTAGGCACACACTTAAAGGTGTGACCATGCCATAACGAAACTCCAATAGGAGATGGAGCGAGTTATCAACCTCCTGGAGAATCAGGCGAGATAATAACCACCACCGATACGCCCTATTAATTAACCACACCATGACGATTCAGATCCTCATCAAAACTCTGGTAATGAATCCAACGACACCGAAAGCAACTCAAGTGATTCAAATCATTGAGTTAGAAGAAGAAGAAGGCGCGAGGAGAATGATCGTGAAGTAAAAGTAGAGATGCCAGAATTTGAGGGAAACCTTAACCCCAAGGAATTTATCGATTGGTTACATGATGTCAAACGAGTATTCGACTTCCACTCATACTCAGACGAAAAGCGTTGCAAGGTTGTTGCTCTCAAGTTAAAGAAAGATGCTTCGCTTTGAAGAACTAGAGAGTTCGTGATGGAAAAAGCCGAATCAGGTCTTGGTAAAAGCTAAGAAACTTATGAAAAAACGGTTCTTGCCCGATAACTATAAGCCAGACATGTTCCTCAAAATGAATTGCCTTTAACAGAGTGGAATGAGCATTGAATAATACATTAGGAAGTTTGAACAAAACCTTATGAGGTGAGATATTCCAAAAATGTCAGAGCAAACCATCACTCATTTCCTTAGTAGCTTGAATAGAGAGATTGTTGATGTGGTTGAACTTTAGCCATATTGGTCTTTTGAAGATGTTTGTAAGCTAGCCATGAAGGTGGAGAAACAACTGAAGCGTGGCAAGGGTTTGTCAACTAAATCATCAACAAGAGGGACACCCTTCTTTAGGGGTGCTTCTTCTAGCGAGGCTGAGAATACGTCGATGAAAGATAAATGCAAAGAGAAGGCCACAGAGTCTGTAAAGAACTCTCCAGAAAGATCGATGGTGGAAGTGCTCGAAAGTGCTTCAAGTATCGTGGTTATGGACACTTCAAAGCCGGTTATCCTAATCGAAGAGGTATGACTCTCCAAGACATTGACAAGATCGACATAGGGCTTCAAAAAGTTATGGAAGACCCCGATAAGATTGTGTCCGAATCTGAGGAGGAAGATGAAATCGCCAAGCGGCTAGATGAAGGAGAATCGCTTGTTATCAGGAGAGCTTTGCACTGCACAATTACTCTAAAGGCAGACGAGCAAAGGGAGAATATTTTCCAAACCCATTGCACCATTAATGGGAAGGTGTGTAATTTGATCATCGATGGTGAAAGCTGCACCAATGTAGCGTCGACGAGTTAAATCTTCCCACTTCTAAACACTCTTAACCGTATAAGTAGCAGTGGCTAAACAAAGGGAACGATCTCCAGGTAACTAACCAAGCCTTGATTCCATTTTCAAATGGGAAAGGCTACCGAGATCAGGTTCTATGTGATATCATTCCCATGGATACATGTCTCTTATTATTGGGAAGGTGTTGGCAATTTGATAGAATAGCCATCTACGTTGAATAGAAAAACACTTACTCATTTTGATGCATGTCGCTTATTATTGGGAAGGTCTTGGCAATTTGATAGAATAACCATCTATGTTGGATAAGAAAACACTTACGCATTTTGGAAAGAGCAAAAACTCATCACCCTTGCACCTTTAAGCCCACTCATGATCCACAAAAATCAACATTGGGAGGGAAACAATATCAAAGAAATTTTTTCATGAGTGAAACACGGGTAGAGAGAGCCATTAGCAAATAGAAAAATGTTTTTGGGTTACTTTTGGTTGAAAATCGAAAAAATGAGAAGAGAGACCCATACACCCCAAATGCATACCCTGATCAATGAGTTTAAATATGTTTTATTACGGAATTACCACATGGATTACCTCCCATAAGAGGTATTGAGCATCAAATTGCTTTGATCCCAAGTTCTTCTCTACCCAACAAAATTATTTATCGATGCAATCCAGAAGAAACAATAGAGCTACAACGACAAGTCGATGAGCTTTTTGTAAGAGAATGTGTAAAGGAAAGCATGAGTTCTTGTTCTGTTCCAACCCTACTTGTGCTGAAAAAGGATGGTTCATACCGGATATATGTCGATAGTCGAGCTATCAACAACATCACAATCAAGTATAAGTACCATATACCTAGACTTGATGATATGCTCATGGATTGTATGGATCGACAATGTTTTCAAAGAAAGATCGAAGGAGTGTCTACCATCATATCTGCATGAAGAAATGTGACGAATGAAAGATAGCCTTTGAGATGAAAGGAGGTTTTTATGAGTGGCTAGTTATGCTATGTTGTCACGCCCCGCACTCCTCGGCGCGCCACATCCCTCGCAAAGGTCGATTCGTGTGCGACGTCCCAGGACGCGTCGCCGACCCAACACCCAACACAGAGATTTAAAGCACATGCGGAAGTAATTAAAACCACCCGTACATTAAAATACACCTAACCAAGGATAGCCATACAACAACCAGCACGGATAAATATACACTTGTTTTGACATTGGGAAACATATACAATATTCATATACAGCCCACACTCAAAAATCAAAAGCGGGTACGTGGCTCGGCGATCAAACACTATATCTAGCCGGGGCTCCTCCCAAAACGTTTCAATACGCCTGCCATCCTCAAGCCTGGGGGTCTGAAAAATTGGGTTTCAACAACAGTGAGAATAAATCTCAGCGAGTAATTCCCTAAACCTAAATTAGGCTAAAGTGCACCTCCTGACGAGTACTAAATCAACACCCCAAGCAAATCATAATTGACTTAGGCCCTCGGGCCCAAATCCAACACTCACCTTGCCCTGCAGGTTAGGCACTTACAGTTCAAGCATAAAACATAGGACCCAATCGCAGCACACGTACACATCATTTGGTCACAACGCATATCATGCTTATGCTCGTGCTCATACGCGTGCTCACGCCTCATCAATGCATTTTCGCACGCTTGCACTCAGCACACTTGCCATTTATCAATTTCTCCTCCGACCCGCGTTAAACGCATCAGGTCCGACCCTCGTAAAACGCATCAGGTCTATCACTATCCAACACTTCCTGGCCCGCGTAAAACGCATCAGGCCCAGTGTCTCTAGCCCGCGTAAACGCATCAGGCGCAACACCGATCTCCATATACGGACCGAACCCGCGTAAACGCATCAGGTTGGCCGTCTTCCGGCAATCCGGGCATCGTCCCGCGTTAAACGCCTCAGGACGGGTTCACTACCCCGCGTAAAACGCATCAGGGTTTATTGTGATCACACATTCACAAGCACCAATTTTCATCTGAACCCCGCGTTAAACGCATCAGGGCATTTTAGGTGATCACAATGCACATGTCACTCGAGCACACTTGTAAATGCACATGCCGTGCCAATGCTCGTGATGCAAACTTATGGCCATAAACTTCACACTCGGGCATTCACGATTTCACAATGGACATTCAATAGCACAACGCCAATTAATTAGTTCACAATGCACCATGTCCAATCAACATTTCAATATGCCCAACCCACATATTAGCACGACCATGAAATTCAATTCAAGCACTCAAGCACGGTACACAATTCACGCGTATAAATCACACAATCAGTTCAGCATGAATCCACGGAAATTGAGGCCCATCACATTACTCCCTTCCTGATAGCATTAGGCACATGTCATGGCACCACAAAATCACTCGCATTTAGGGACCATTCAACCACTAGTTCGGTCAATCCATCATTTCCGGCACTTACACTCCAAACCTTAATTCAATCGCGCCTTGTCCGACTAATTTCCAAAGTGGACAGCCATTAAATCAATTGCGCCGGGCCATTTAATGACCTCAAAATGTTCCACTAGACTCCCCAAGACACCATTTTAATCAGCCACCATAATGCCAAATAAGGTGCGCACTAGAATCCACATTTTAAACCCGAAACTTCCCAAACTTGGGCTAATCCGATCCAAATCTGTCCAGCCAATACTCGGCGCTTCTCAGGCTACTAAACCTCCATTTATTTATCGCACTAAGCCTGTAGAACAGCCACCAAAACAGCCACCACCCGGTCTATCAATTTCATCCACTAAGTCCGCCATTTTGTCTAAATCTCGGCACCCATGCTTCGCCATATCACAGCACTATACGAGCCGCTAAACCTCGACTAAATAATGATCCCTGGGTCACCAAAAACACCACAGAACCAGCCCATATCACTATTCAAGGCACTCTTGCACGGCACATAAATCACACATGTAGTTCGCACAATTTGATCAA